AAAGAACTGCACGCAGTGGGGGTGGTGCAGCTTCTGCAGCACGTTGAGCTCCGTCCTGGGGGCGAAACATGGATTTACGGGGGTCGGGTTGGGGTCTCAGGTAGGTGGATTGGTTTGAGGGTTGACTGCTGAGAGCTTCGTCGCTGCGCTGCGCTGCGATGTCCTACTAACGGCACCAAGACGTCAGCTTGCGCACGCGCCTGCGCTCACACTTGCTGGCACACGCGCGTGCACGCGCTCCCCACTCCGCTGCCCACCCACCCGTCTGTCCGACCAGCCCGCGCCCGCCTGCGCCTGCGCCGCATCATCCTGCCGCACACACACGCCCCTCCAACTGCCGGCCCCCCCACCTGAAGTCCCCGAGTGCCACAGCATCATTGTCCTTGAGCACCTTGACGGCCACAGGGGTCCCCAGGTACGATGCGCGGTACACGATGCCAAACTCGCCCTCCCCCACCTTGTCGCCAAACTGCAGCAGCTTGGGGTCGATCTGGGGGGCGGGCGGGTTTGCAGCGGGAGTGAGGGCCGGTTTGGGTTGGTCATACCGGATGGACCGCTGGATGCCAAGGCGGGTTGCAGGGAAAAACAACCGGCGCATGCGGGGGTGCAGGGGGTTGGGAAGGTGTGGAGCCACGGAAGATTCGGCAACGGCAATGCGCATGAACGCTCCATGCGGGCGCGCGCATCCCATGTGCAGCGGCTGCATGCAGCCCCATACCCTTCACATGCGCAACGCATGCGCTGCGCACGCAACAAGGCCCCGCGCTTCAAGCCTCCCCCGCCCCCTCACCTCCCACTCGGGGTCAAGCTCCCCGAAGATGCGCACGTTCCCGCTGAGGCGGCTGTCGCTGAGGTCTATGAGGTTCCCCTCCTTACTAATGACCTTGCCGCCCTGCCCCACCAGCAGCACCACCACCTCTCCATGGTCGCCGCGCACGGCGTCCTGTGTGTGTGGGGGGGGGGGGGCAGGGGCGGATCCGTGGCGCGGCGGTGCGTGCGTGCGTGTGCGTGGGTGCGTGTTCAATCGGAGGTGCAAGGGCATGCAAGAGCATGTGTGCTCGAGAGAGGGAGAGCGAGCGAGTGTGTGTGGGATTTTTGGTGTGCGTGAAGGGACGCACACGCGCGCTTTGCGTGCGTGCGGTGTGTGTATGCCCTCTGTGAGAGGGGGCCATGTGGGCGGCAGCCGCAGCATGGACACATGCTGCACAGGGCTGCCGCTGCAGCTGTGGCACCACAACGCCACCTCCGCCACCACCATCACCACCACCACCATCACCGCCACCAATATGACCACGCTAGCACCGACCGCGCCCCCTGACACACACCTCCAGGGGAGTGCGCTTGAAGCGGTCAACAGGGTTGACCTCCACCCCGCACTCGTCCACCAGCCACTGAGCCACACTGTAGCACCCTTCAGACGCCGCCAGGTGCCTGCAGGCACGCCACACGGGCACAGGGGAGCAAGATCAGGGGCGCATGAGCATGAGTGGCGGGGTGGGTCATGGAAACATGCAGGTCAGGAAGGCAATGCAACATCAATTTGCTGGGTGAGCCGGCAAACGGTGCCAAGGGGCGAATTGCCCCGTGAGCACTGCATCCGCGCGCGCATGGCGCGCGTGGGGGCATGCACATGCGCGCGCTCACAGGGGAGTGCGTTTGTCGTAGTCACAGCAGCTCGGGTCCATGGGCTGCATGGAGGAGGGGCCAGGAGTCGATCCGCGTAATTGTATGTGGCAGCTGCCAGGCTCATTGCACAGCGTGCAACGGAGGTGAGGCAGCCCACACGGCAGGCAAACCGGGCCTCCACGCAGCGCCCGGCCGCAAGCAGCGCACACCGTCGCTGCCGCGCGCGCCCCCCGGCCCCTGCACTCCCCGTCATGCGCGTGGGCGCCTCCCTCGCCCCAAGCAACGCAACCCCTCCGGCAACACATGCTATGATGATGAAAACATCAGCTTGGGCCCAAATATCCTCACGTCAATTCTCCAGGTGGCGCATATCTTCTGGCACCGCGCCAAGTCCCCTACGGATGAGAAGAACAGCAGCTCGGTAATGGCCTGCCGCCGCGCCGCATTGTCGCCGTGCAGGCTCGGGCCGGCGTGGTGGGCGTGCTCAGGGACGGGCTGGGGCGCCACGGGAGGCTTGCGGCTGTCGAGACGGCTGAGCACGTTGAGCGGCATGGCCGCGGGTGAGCCCGGTGCCGCGGCGGCGCCGCTGTGCGGGAGCTGCGGGCGGCGACCCACACGCGAGGCTGCCGAGGCCGCGCTGGCGGGCGCTGGCCAATGCGTACGGCGCCGGGTCGCGCGTGGGATAGCGGCTTAGGCTGTGTCGTGTGCTTTGGCGCACGCGCAGCCGCCGCACTCCTGGCGACCAGCTCGTCAATGCAGCAGGCGTGCGGCAATTGCGCCTTGCCGGCTGGCTGCTTGTGCTCCGTGCAATTCTGCTGGATGCTGTTCGCGGGACGGAATCAAAAGCTACTGCTCGGATGGATGGTGAGGTCAGACCCCGTGGGCGTCCAAATGATGCGAGAGTGTGGCACGAGGATGGATGGCCGTCGATCCCACGTGGTCAAGCCCGGGGAGCCAGCCGAATGACGAGCAAGGATTCCACGAAGCACACCTCAACGAAAGACCGCGGTCTGTTCCACACCCTGAGTCACCCGTGGCCCTCAACCCAAAAGATTCGCTCCGCTCGGCGCACGCAATGCCGTCACGTGTGTCAACCAGTTGATTTCAGGTGAATCCAGACTCGCCGTTGCTCAGTGCACCTCAAATCAAGGGCGAGCGCGCGCAGACCGGCGTCTAGTCCATCGATGGCCGGCCGCCCACATGGCAGCACGGATTGAGACTCCCGCCAACTTAGTGCCCCACATCAGGCGCACAGCCACTAGGCAAAGTCGACCAGAGCCACCAAATTACATACGCTTCATGCCGCCAAGTGTGGCGTACGCATTGCCATGCTGGGCATCAGGCCGGGGGTGGTGGCAGCACACACCAACGCGTTCCCCGCAACGCATCGCGAATTGCTCCCAGATGGAGGCATACTGCACGCCTGTCTCGTCCAACACCTGCTTGCAGCCTTGTCAATGCTCTCGTGGGAGCATTTACAGCGCGTGCGGCTCTGGGGCAGGCATGAGCGCCGGCGTAAGCACAGGTCAGTGGGACTGGTTTGGCAGGTGCGGTGGCGCGGAGGCCGGCAATGTGTGGGGGGCTCGCGAAGCAAAGAGGTCAAGAGTCGGGTCAGACACAATAAAACGAGAAACAAGTTGCTGTGAACGACGGGTAGTGTCCTGCGACGGCGCACCCACAGCTCCTCGGGTGGCTGCTGTGCCAGGGCCGTCGCAGAGCGCGCGTCGGCCCCCTGCGAGCGTCGGGCGCACGCCCGGACCCCGGACAACGGCGCCGGGCACGAGCAGCCGTGAAGCTGCGTTGCCTCGGAGCAGCGGCTGCACCTGGAGC